CTTCTTAGGTATATTTTTCATGTAATAATCGAAGGAAAAAGAATTTTGACAATAAATTAATCACCGCAAGACATATTTTTTTCGGAAGTTCTCCTGGAGATCAGCTACGAGAATAAAAGAACCCAAAATTTTTCAATATTAATCGTCGATTTTTAGATTAGATTAATTTAAATTAGTTTAAATTGGGGTAAATTTTGCTTGTCTTGCCCTTTGACGTAACATTATATTATAATTTTTATGACCATGGGGTGAAATAGGTGTTTCGAGGGTTCTAATAATTTATGTAACGTGTAATGAGAAAGTAATTAGGTATTCTCGATAAGTTTTGATGAGAAAAATATTGTTTTCAAGTCAGAAAACATGTGTCGAAAAAAATGTACATAATAAATATATACATACATAAAACACAACAACAGCAATATTGCTCACCATATTTTGGTTTGACACTAATTTATATGGTTGCGTTCGTCTTACAAAGTATATAGTTATAGATATAGAGGTGGATAGCTAAGAACACACGTTCAATACGATTAGTTATGTATGTATAATACACTTGTATGTACATATATGCTTGTACATGCTAAATCCATATAAGGCAGCGAACGAGTGTCACGAACGGATATGCCAAAGCGAAAATGCAGTCGCTGAGGCGATGTGTATTGGCAGGTAGGTAGGCAGTTATCGGGTAAGGAAGGCATGAAATACCGCTAAAAAAGCGTGGCAGTCGATTAGCTCGGTTCAAATTAAGTCATACAGGGTAATACTAGTCCTTCGTAAAATTTCAAGTGAGTTTAAAAGTATGACTTTACTGCACCAGAGGTTATAGGGTTCTAATTATCATGAATAATAATTTGAGAATGTAAACTTGGTCCCGAGCTCCACGCTTATTTAAAAGTTTGACACTGCCAACAAAATGCTGTTCGGTTACTAACCAGACTAACAATGCTCTTTCAGAGTCATAAAGCACAAACTATAACTACGAGTGAATTTTTCGTTCTAATTTCAACAAAATTTCAAGTTCTTTTCGGTTTTTATATCAACTACTTTCTGTATAGTTGTTGCATTTACATAGGTCAACCTCGATTCTAATAAAATATTTTTTATTTTGGCATAAGGGGTTAGTGGTGGTCAGAATTTAAAAAAAATCAATTTGAAAATTTCAAGTTGATCCGATAATTACTTTTTGAGTTATTCGACCTGCTCGGGAGCAGGTAGCTAGCGGCAGCTGCAAGAAACTTTAAATGCGTTTTTCTCAAAACTATGTTTTTTGAACTGGTGGCAACTGTAACTCGAAAAGAGTTCAGTAGATTTTAATGAAATATATACAGCTTTTAGAATACATAATAAACCCGGGCCTGCTCGAAGACATTTTTTTTTCAAAAATTTCGATTTTTTAAGACCAATTAACTGTTAATTTTTTCCCAAAAATCTAGAAAAGAATATCCTGAGTCCGCATTTTGGAACTGGGTCAATACAGACAGCTATAAGTTTGGAAATTAAAATTTTTTTTTTTTAATTTTCATGACTTCATGTCAAAACATTGTATAATAATGCCATATTACTACTTTTGTAAAATAACATGATTTAAAAAAAAATTACTGTAAATTCTCCTTTTTCGTGCCTCTGACTACCCCTAACCCCATAAAATAGTTCTTAATTTTTTGGAATAACAGCTTCTGCTTTCGTTTTCGTCTCACCTGCTGTTCTAAACTAACCTCACTTAACTTTCACAAATATCAGATTTCGCACACATACCTTCGCAAGTCTTTCTATGTTAGTTTGAGGGGTACCCTGTAACAAAACATCATTCTACAATTGTATACATCTATGACTATGCATGTGCCTTGGGCACTACGTTACAATTCAACGCTGCCGTCTTATTTTGTATTCAAGTCACATGCAAAGCACGACATTTGAATAACCATCGAAGGCAGTGGTTTCCCTTTACACCCCACACAACTCCTGACGAACCCGTTTTCCACCGCTTGGCCTACAACCATTCGCGTAGTCTCATTTTCCACTACTCAATTATTCAGTAATCATTCAGTGCCATGCATAACAACACTTTTGCCAAAACAGGCAACTCAACGAGTTGAGTCCCGAATTCGCCTCCTGTAAAGCGAACCAACTGTTTCGACTTGCTTCTTCAATCGAGCATCATGCTCAACCGACTTTCGGCTACTCAACTCTTACTCCATGTGATATTCACTCACATCCGTATGTATATATTTACAAACTTATATACATAGCTGCATATATGTACAACAAGCTGTTCAATATTTACAACAAATTGCTCATCTACATAGTAGGCTAGGTCCTAGCTATTCGGTAGGCTCTGCGCTTTATCCTTTTTGTTAAAATGCTTCACGCTTTATGCCAAAACTCGTCACCAAACCAAAATTTCTACTTTACACCGTTCACCGGCAAGCAGTCTGCTGTGGTAGACTAATTTCATAGCTGTCATTTACCATACTTCGGCTGTTGGGGAGGAAGACCGGAAAACTTTGCAGTCTGGAAAAAGTAATACTTTCGAAAGTCTCTGATGGAAGTTGCTGAGTTGTGGTGACTTTAAGAAATTGACTGTTCTGGCAATTGTTTTGTACTTCTTTTGTGCGTTAGGTTCGCTTTATGTTAAGTTGGTAATTAAGCATCCAAAGTGCTACGCCGATATCATGTGAACAATACATTCAAAGAATTCGGCGAGCAGATAGATAGTCGACAGTTAAAAACCGCAGGGGATGACAATTTTCCGCAAATATTAAATATAAAATTGAAAGCTATATTTAACTGAATACTTTACTTTGCTCTTTACATAGATAAGATTTTCGCTCGTATGGTCCTAAAATAGAATTTCTATTAATGCGAATCGAGTGAAAATGTAATGATCTGATTCTAAGAACGGGATTAATGTGTTGGTTTAATTTAGGCAAATTCCTGGTCGCCCAAAGATTATCCTTAACAAAAATGTGTCAAAGGAATCTAAGAACGGGATTTATGACTTCCGACACGTTTTAATAAACGTTTTTTCCAAGTCAAGAAAATCCCCCTATGGTAAAAAATTTGCCGCAATCATCATTGAACACCCATATTAAAACACTGTCTCCATCATTGCAGGATAGCTGAGTGTTAAGCATTTTCTAAATTAGGTCTCATTATATAATTTAAAATACCTAACTATTCTACGCGAATGCTTCAAAATAGAGAGAAAAAGAGAAAGAGGGAGTAGAGGGTTGCGTGTGTGAACTGAAGACTCTTACATTTATGAAATTTTTTGAATCTAAAATTAATAAAAAAAATTACAGGTTTTTAATAATAGGGTTGCCACTTAAATAAAACTAAATTCACTTATAAAAGAAAAAAAGGTATATGCTGCATAAAATAAAGTTAAAATTCATCATATTAGTGGCACAACCATAAATGAAATTTCACAAATTTGCACCATAAAGTGTGCGTACGTCGTAAGTAAGTAGCAAAGTGAGAATTTACAATTCTACACCCAGAATTACAGCCAAACGCGTCTACATGTAATTAAAACCCAAGAGGAATTCATTAAGTCTTGTCTCGGCAACGCCTGGATGACTTGTCTAAAGTTTCAAGAATCATCAGCACCTGTTAGTCATACTAATGCCACACACAGTTAGTAAATGCCAAACCACCACCCACACACTCGAGCACACACACTTGCAGAAAGCAAGCGAGCGCACATTGTAAATGGATGAGCGTGCGTGCGTTGAGCTATGAGTTTTGCTCAAGTGTCAGCTTTTGTCATAAATTCTATTTTACTGCAATTTATTTTTCCTTTTTCTATTTCCATATTTCCACGTAAGGGTGTTCAAGTGTCATGGCACGTGCGGAATTGGAAATTATTAATCTAACTGTGTGAGTAATGAGCGAGCAAGCGCGAAACAATGACTTATGCACTTTTCGTTGCAGTAAGTAGAATGCACATTGGCCCACCTTAAATGCAGCTGTAGCAATCCTTAAAAGCCAAATATAGTTAATTTTAAATATATATGAGGTTTTGCTTTGCTAAAAATATGGCAACACCCGCAAGGTAGTAAACATGTAAATAAATACAACGAATATTGAATTAACCGTTATGCAAACAAATCGCATGAAATCTGGCATCGCTTCGAGCATATAAATAAGCAATTGGAATTTGTTGTTATTGTTTGATTGACCAATGCATAAATTTGCATATTTACCTACATTTTCATATTTATTTGTACGACTATGTGTGGCGACAAGTACTTTTTCGCAAAGGGTGTGCCGAAATTAATATTTTATAGTATATATATCTATATTTTGTTCAAAACGTCTTTATAGAAGCAAGAATTTAAAAGGTTCTGTTATCTTTAATTATCTTCTATTTATCATACATTGGAGAGTAGTGAATCAAACCAACAACCCACGTATAGGAGTGAGTTAAAAATCAGCGATATTTCAGAAACTACAACCGGCCGGCATGAGAAATGCAAAATCAGCCCTTACTCTATGGTCCAACACCGTCTAAACAGCTTGTTTCCTGTGTTTACCCATAGATGTCTACATTAAAAATATAACACATAGCCTACCTTAGCTGTTCATAGAATATAATAATAAATTATCACTATAACAACAACAACTATGTAATAAACTGATGAATCAGCGGATTATAAACCTCATCCTTTCATTTTCATATATCCAACATATTGTTAAACTGAATATGAGAATGAATGAGACTTCAAAGTTTTCGCAATGCTTAAAAGTTGTAAGACTTATTTAATTTGAAAGCTTTTGATAATTTTTAAAAATTTATTTTATAAAGATGTTCTTCCCTGAGTTTATGCTTTTTATTTTGAGGCAAAAAAAACCTAAAAGTCATTCGAAATTGGTTATAAGTTCAAAATATATATTATATAATTTGTAATTGTAATATTTGTAATTGTTGTACTATTAAAATTGTAGTGGTTTTTAATCTACATAATAACATTCTGAAAAGTTTTTTTCTTGTTTTACAGTTATCTGTGAAATCGTCTGATTTTTTATGGTGAGTATTATAATTGCTATAAATTAATAATACGCGACTCTGTGGCTGTCTACGTCAGTTTTAGTCTTGCAAGTGATAGCTTATTCTATTATATTCTGATTATGCTAAAACCCATACAGCGCGTGAAACGAATTTTTTGTGACCGGATTTTATCAAGAAATGAGCCGGTAATTTGGTCACCTGGGTCACGTCGTTTGACTTCATTCGACTACTTCTACTAAAACACCCGCTACGACTGACAAGTTGAAAACCAACATTCCTCAATTCAGATTAACTGATCAACCTTTTAAGCCATTAAAATATTTTTTGTAAAAAAGAGAGTAGTCAAAAATTTTAACGTATTTAAAACTTATTTATTTTATAAAACAACAATAATTTAATCAATATTTTAATCTGTTGACATAAAAAATATGCGTGTATATTTGTATCTGTCAGGCTTTTCTAACAAAATTGAAATTTATGTTAGAATTTATCTATTTATGCGAATTTCACTTTCTTCCAAATTGATTGCTTCTTTGTTTTTGTATTCGCACTATCACACGTTTGCGAAACAAATTTAATATCCGACAATTTACCGACAATCCTTCGATTTGTCATATTGCGCATACATTTTATCTAGGAACTCAACACAAAAGTACCTAAAACTTTATAAATTCATAATAATAGAAATAAAACCACAGCAACAATGCCTAAAAACTGGTATTGCGCGTTAATGCATATTAGATCGATCTGCCTACAAATAAAGGAAAACATGCATGTACAGGTACATATATACGCACATTGTATATGTATATCGCCAAGTAAATACATGTAAGTATGTGTATGTGAACAAAATGCATTTATTTTATAATTAATTGTATTCGATTTGTTCACACAAATGTTGCATTTTATACAAATTACTTACAGATGCGCATACAAACAAATATATATAAGTTTATTACATTTACAAATATAGGGTGCTATAAGAATTTATTTCAAGAGATAAAAATATTTCATGCAAAAAGTCTACAATAATTTGCCCTCTTGTCCGTATGTCCTTCTGGTGAGCGCAAAGAACAAAAAAGAGGGTTATTACTTTTTATGAAACATAACGTCATAACCGTTTAGAAATTTGACTTCGCTGAAAACGAGAAAGTGAAATATTTACAGAAAGTGAAATATTACCAATTCACTATTGAACATATGTAAAAGGTCACTTTGATTGTTCAGTGTGCCTGTTACAACCCTCAACAGTTCCTAATGTTTTGAGCCTCCTCTAAACTCGTCGACTATGACTTTCAGTACTTCAAATTTTATCCATTACATAAATTGATTTGAATGAAATTTGGAGTGGCTGAGTTGTGGAACACATCATATAATCGAAGAATTAACCAATCTACCACTTTATAGCAACTGTAAGTGTCGGCCGACGTTTTGTGCAACGAGCAGACACATCCTGTATATGAGTTTAGGTGAGATTTGTATATGCAATTTAATGCGGAAAATAATTGTTTTGATAATTGCTATACAAAACTCATAAACGCCAATAATTATGGCACATACGTAGGTGCTTATTTGAACTTTGGTGCATATATTATAAGTGTGTAAACATATACAAGTACATACCTATGTTTAATAGGGTAGACGTAATTAAACAAAGTAATGGATAAAATTTTAATGCTCCTAATATAAACAGTTGATGTAACGAAAGAAATAGTTTAGTTAATAGATAGAGCAAACTTGCTAACTACTTTAAGCTTTTAATACAGTTATGGGATAGTGATAAGCAACGAAGCAATAATGCCCTACACAAATAAAAAATATCTCTTGCAAGTACTTGATTTTGATTGAACCATTGCATTAAACAGTAACCCACGCCATATTTAGTAAATATATCTCGAAAAAGTTTTTCATACAAACACTTGATACCGGACGTTCAGTTGGTGTGGCAGCTATATGCTATAGTGATCCGATATCAGCGATTCCAACAGACTCTCTCAGGAGAAAAGTACGTGTGCAAAATTTCAAACGGTTAAATGGACAGACAGTCGGACATGGCTAAATCAACTCAGATCATCATGCTGATCATTTATATATATACTTTATAGTTTTACCGAAGTTTCCTTTTGGATGTTCCAAACATCATGGCAAACTTAATATACGCTGTTCAGGGTATAAAAATATGTGTGTTCTAGGTCGAAGAAGTATTAGCTGTGACTTAAGAATCTTCAAGTTGGATCTTTAATCCCTATTACTCATGGAAAAAGGTTTACGGATATTTGTTAGTCTTTTAAGACAAATGGGGTTTAATCTCATACGAAGCAAACGACATGAAAATATAGAAGAATATGCTAAAATTTAATCTTAAGTAGACTAGAACTACGATATACCAATATTTTTAACAATGATGATACATATTTATTTCATAACAGTGAAGATATAAATTGAAAATTTAGATGAACAAGTTAACTTTGCATAATGAACAGAATTTTGAACTTACCAAATAAACAATGAAAGTAAAAAACTAAAAAAGTTATCATTACTAATTACAAACAAATAGTATTTAGAATATTGAATGAGAGCGAAAATAATAGAGCGTAACGCCGATAATTATTTTGGAATCACTCGGCATTTAGTTGATTAACTATACATATGAAAGCATGTCTCTTATGAAAATAATTATATATACCGCAAAAAAGCCAACCGTTATATATATATGTAAGTATTTACAAATATATACAAAAGTATTTAGTTATTATGCGACTCACAACAATGAACTCATTGCGATTACCAACACGACCGTAGGTATACCTGAATGATCTAATCAATTATTTATTATCCACGCTTTTACAAGCATTTATCAATCATTAAACTACAACAAATGGCGCATGGACTTGGGTATGAAATCAGACGTACGTGTATTACTCAATTAATCATTGACTTATGACGAGGTTTGAAAATTATATTTTTATGTGTATACCATAAGAGCCGATTACATTTGATGAATGGGCCAGTGGATTGATTGACTATCACTAAGGCTTGGTTTGAATGTGAGAACTTTTATTTTGATGAGACTAAAAATGCAACCTAGAAAGGGTCTCGAATGTTACGAACATTTTAGTTTATTTAGAAGAGTTTACCGTCCAACTGGCATTGAGGCCCAAAGTAACCGGATACGTAGTTTTTTTTTTATACCTTACTGAATTTGCTTTCCGGTGATAATTGCCACAAGCTTGCAGAACCTCTTTCTGATATATTTAACAAAAACAAAAAAAAAATGAAACAGTTTTATCTGCTTATTCTACATTGTCCATCCATTATTATACGCAAAAAAAATATGAAACAATTTTATCTGCTTATTCTACATTGTCCATCCATTAGGTTATCAAAAGGTGTCAATTTGTAAGTTTTCCGTGCGCTAAAGAGTGTCTGGGCTAATCTGACGTCACTAATTACAATGTTCGTCCAACTATGTTAATCAGTTGCCAGCGGCAAAGTGGGGTCGACCGAGTGTGCGTTGTAATGTGTAATGGCGGTGAGTCAGGTGTGAAGTAATGAGTTGTAGCCCGCAGCTGTGTTTTGCCGCTATTGTCGCATATTTGCATTATTTATTGTTGCTTTTTTGTCAACGAAATTGCGACATGTTGCAGCTATTTTATCTCGCATCCTAATTTCTATATTCACTTTTTGTCTGCCTCCCCACAATGAGAAGCAAAAAAGTATTGTATCTTTTTAAATTTATTCACACTTTCAGGTGCTTTTTTATTTATTCCTTATATGATTTGAAATTCATTTCATTTTCATTTATTGCTTTCATTGTTTACAGTTCGTTACTGCCGGTTTCTTAAACTGCATTCACACATGACACACACTTGACTGAAGCGTACAAGATTTTGAGAAGATGATATGAGAGTGAATGCTCTGACTAGTCATATGTGAGTACTTCAAATAAGATATCTTTAGACCCGATAAGTCCTCTAAGATATTCTTCAGTACCCAGGTAAAAGCATTGAGATGGTGAAGCTTGAAGTAATCTTAATATATATTTTGAAATTTTGCCACCCTTTTTACTGCAAGAATACTTTAAGGTGATCGCTATAAAGTCTAGCTTTTCTGGGCAGAAATATCCAGCTCTGTTTTTATGTATGTATCTGTCATGTCCTTGCGGGTAACTGGCGTTCGGAGAAAAGGTGAATAGCAGCTATCTGTTTTTCCCGATAATTTAATTTACTCTTTGACTAAGAATAAAAGTTAACTGGTAGAGAATTGTCTAATTTTTCACGTAAGAAGCTTTTGGTTCGGTTTAAAACCCCATAAGTAAAAATAGAGAGTACCGAGTCAACTGATAATAATTATTTTATTAGACGTCTGCGCCAAAATGTAGGCAACAAAATTTTTCATAACAATTTTCGAATTTGCAGAAGTGATAACTGGAAGACTGATCCGATCATCATAAAACGACCAAAATTTGGGAAAAAATTCAACTTTTTTTAAACGTCGCCATTTTCTCAATTTTTCATTTTTTTTTTTTTGGTTCGGAAGTAATTTGTTCGGAGCTAATCTTCTAGTTTAACGAGATTTTTTTAATTTTAGGTTTTATTCACGAAGAAGGCCGGAATCACAGCAGTAATTGAGGACCTTTTTTTAGCGCCGTCGAAGATCTCGTATAACTCAAAAAATAGTTAATTTTTTTTTTGCACTGTGTATGCTTGTAACATGTATGAATATATCCTGAAAGTTTCAAACAATCGATATAGAATAGAGTATTTTTTTATAATTCCCAAAAATCGAGGTTTTTTTACGCTGTGCCCCTTAAACGTCGAAAAATACCTTAATTTATTATTTTCCTTTCATTAATTTTAATTATGAACAACATGCGCCACTCATTACACTAACAATAATGACAATGCGTTTGTTGCACATGTTGCATGGCTGACTCTAAGTAATTGCAACAACAGCAAACGTCAACAACAATAAATTTAATGGTGTAGCGAACACAATGAATACATTAGTGTATAGGA